TACAACTTGTCGTTTAAAAAGCGAAAGATTATCGAAAATACTAGTGAATACTTAAATGAGTAAAAATGTTCCTTATATTTAAAAGTTTTCAACCAAATTCGTTTTTTTTTCCTTACTTATTTCATCCTTGATGACGTAATATATTTTCTTACACACTCTGTATTTGAAACAAAAATAAATATTTCTTGCTTAAAAAAAAACATATTCCCCTTAAAAGATCATTATAGAGCTATTAATAATCAGTTCTGCTATCAGATTTCGCAATTCTTAAATAAAGACTTGAAGCTCGGATAGCGAACTTATTATAATTAGATACATTAAGTGAAGAAGCATTTCTACAATACTTGGAGTAAGACTTTTTGATTCTTATAGCCGATATGTTTATTCATTGATAGTGCTGAGAACGGAACATATGCTAATATGACTTTTTTTTTAAAAAGAAAAAATCTTTTGAGAGCCATTAAGAACATATAAAAACGTTATACGGCCAAATTTGATAATTTTTTTATCATTGCAAAAAATAATTATTTATTTTTTCATTAGATACTCCTTAAATTGACTCCAAAGTTTCAGTGGTTTGGTAAATTTTAAATATTTAACAAAAAACACAAAAAGTAAAAATAAAATTAAGCATTTAATTGTTCTCATAACTTAACTATTTAGAACATATTTTTCCCATTATGGAAATCTCATTCACTGAGTTTCAAAAAGCTGAATCCATCAAAAAAATACACGTTTATTTAGCGAAATTACATTTAAATGCCTTAATTTTAATTTTCCCTAACTAAAATTCAATAGTTTATTTGAAGTTTACCTCTGAAACCATTAAGATTGCATCATATTAAAGGAAAATACAGCCATTATATTAAAAGGTGATATGTTGAAATTTACATAAATAAAAAGCATACAAAATTTCGACAAAGCGCACGCAACTGGAATAGGACAAACAACTTTAAATGCAATTTTTTTTTCTTAAAATGAGGGCTTTAAGCCGGCTACAAAATTTTTTCGCTATTTCTAATGTAGCTAATACCTCAAAGATACTTTCCCCAATTAATGTTTAGTTTTTTTCTGGTCATTGATAAAATATTCATGCTTTTCTAAATTGCTAATCACATTGTAAATTTCTAATCACATTTTATGCACAATTGGAATTTTTTCATTCTAACATTACGATAAAAGAACCGGCAGCTTGTTTTGTCCATCTAATTAAATGTAAAGTTTAAAATAAAGAGCATTTTTTACCTTTTTGATTTTGAAACTATTTACAACTAATATAGTTAGAAAAAACCATGAATACAAAACTATGGAGTTTTTTTTAACCATTTACTATTAACGTGTTTACAAAACCGCAAAAATAAGGAAATTTAACTGAACATTGGAGCTAGGCTTTCCGTTAGGTTAATGGGTTAAGTTGTGGTTGAGTTGTGTTTTATCAAATGAACCGTGGAATGTGGTTTAATTAGTTTATCTGGTTGTTTCATCTATTGTAAAATATGGGAAATACTAGATTTTTTTTCTTTGTCAAGTAGCTTTATGGTGGTTCCGTGTATACGTGAATGGAAGTTTCGTATTTTAATAGTCTGGGACCACAATGATCTTCATGAGGTGAAGAAAATTGAGGAAATATTGTGGTGTCAACGCTGGAACTCAAACCTCCGATAACCGTTCAGTGGGTCATGAGATTGGCCGATTAACCATCTCGGTTATAATATGTACCCAGCTGCAAGGAAATAAGTGGCTACTGGGTGGGCCTAGTTGGTGAGATAAATTTCAGGTTGTTGAACCATATTATATGAAAGCAGTTAATAAACCATTTTTCTCACAGTTAACAGTTTGAACGCCATCTTATTTATGGTTATTTGACGGGTTTGTTTGAATATTGTAAAATAACAATTAAATCAGTATAGAACAATTAAATCTTCAGTATTAAAGTTTTATTTATTATGAGAAAATTAAATTACTGTATCAAACATTATATAATTTCAAACTATGCATAAACTTGCTGAAAACAAGGCTTTATTTTCTGCACTCAGAAACCATAAATATACAAATATATGAAAATACATACAACATACATAACTATCGCACTATCAGTTTGAGAAATTTATCACATTGTTTACTCAAGCGTTTTCGGTGACATATAGTCATAGGTAATGCTTTTCTAAAATAAAGAAAACAACGTGTTATTCTCTTAATAAATGTGAGCTTCATTCATTGTTTCGTCTTTCAATAGAAACAAATAGTTGTATTTTATTGATTTACGATATTTTCCGTTGAAAGAAAAGTCATTTCATTTTATTTCTTTTGTATCGTGCCTAAACATCGATTTCGCTTGCTATTAATTCTTTTTTCCCCCTCAAGTATTGAACACATTGTTATTTGTCCTAATAAAGAATTTTTATGATCAGCAGGAAAGTAATATTTTTTTCTTTATCTAAATTCTGTAAATGGCTATTTTCGTTAGCGCCTTTAGCTTCACATTTAAACACTTACAGGATATTGGTTTGGTTTTTTGCACTGGAAAAATTCGCTTTTGTTTAGCCTGTTGTGTGTAGCAAATTATGCTTTAAAAACCTGGAAATACCAATAATTTAGTCAAACGTTATTCAGAATTATGAACTTTTTTCTTTTTGTTTAGTGAGCATGCAAATATACGACATTTTTAAAATTCAATTTGCCATTAACTACTCGACCGATTTCGCTCAAATTTCGTATTTTTCCATTAAATTACATTATTTAAAGAGATGCAAAGAATTGTATACCTTACAATTCAAAAAATGTTTAACGACTTTTAAACAAAATAATAAATACTTACTAAAAGTTTTTTTTTTTCGTATGGAGTTTTCTTTGGATAAACGAATCAAATCACTTAGAAAGTTTTCGAGATATGGTGAAATACGCAAAAAGTAAAATTAATATTAAGGGTTCCAAACTTTGGATCGCTCTCTTGATCAAACTATGGGGACCCTGTTTCCCTTATTGCGGCTACTCTTATATATGGGGATTGGAAATCCAAATTTATCGAAAAAAAAGGCATGTTTGTTCAGAAAAAGTAAGTTTTTGCGTCTTAAATTGATATTGTAACTTAATGCATCACCTATACTAATTAATTAGCATATTTGCAAGTCATCTCTTCGAATCATTAGGTTGAAGATCCGATCCTTAGAGCAAAAGTTACTCAATGTGGTTCGTTTATTTATTTATTTTTTTAGCACTGTACAGTGCGCAAAATAAAAATAGAACACTGTAATTACTTCTTATCTTACTATCGGATCTTCACGTACTAAGTTACAATATGAATGATTCGAGAGTTTAAAGTTTTGTATGCGAAATAATTGGCGTGGTCAGCATTTCAAGTCACGAAATTAAAGAAACAATTTACTTTTTATTAATAAAAATACTTTTTTGTTAAAAGATTTAGATTTTTGAGACTAAAAATATAAGAAAAAGGAGTATCGGTGATCTGAAAAATATGGTCCCAATATACTGAGAAAAACTATTGCAAAAAAGCCATATATGTGTGTTAAAATTATTTTTTCTGATTGAAACAACTGGTACAAGGAATCGTCAAAAAATTACGCTATATACCTTATGTACTCTTATATAACAAATATAGTGTACTCTAGATACCTAATACAGTATACCTATATCATGATTTTTCTGCTTCTTATCATAACGGTTTATCGGAATTCCTGGTTTTAAAAATAATTGCTCTTTATACCTCCATATTTAGTAAGAATATGAAGCTGAATATTTACAATTTGAGCACGAGAAGATGCAAGTTTGATTTCGCCTCGCAAGATGCTGAACATTCCACGGAAATAGAAATAAACGGTTATAAAATCCATGTATGTTTTTAGTTGTATAATAAAGATAATTGTGCTCCATGAAGATTTACATAAATATTCATGGAACTAAACTAAATAATTTGATAATGCTTAACTTCTATTCGTTTCGGTTTTCTAAAGCCTAGTTCGAATTTATGCTAATCTCTCTGTGCTGTGAAGTATGTTTGATTAAAAAACTAATTTTATTATAGGAAACATTGTATCTATGCATTCTAAAGAAATAATGATTCTTAATTTATATTGTATCGTAGAAATAACATTACTGACTCTTATATTACTGTAATTATAAATTTCATTGCGACTGAATAACAAAAACTATAGTAGCTAGCTACTTTACACCATGTAGTCCAAAAGAACATTCCTGATGCTTTACTAATTAGGAATCATCGTTGATTCTTGGAGTAGTGAAACACCAAGATCCAAGAGTTATCTATGGTGTTCCATTGCACCACTTTTTATTCGCACCTATACCGCAGTTACCTACAGTTAGTATTTTAGTTCCTTACACCACTAGCAGTTGTCACTATTTTTAGTGTTTAGATACAATGTAAGTTATTCTTCCCCCTCTCCCCAAAAGAAAGTGCCATAACGTCCCTATGGCGTAAGGAGAAAAGCCCATATGTATCTCTCATCATTGAGATACTTCCACGGTCACTCGGGAATATTTATATTATTAGTAATGAAAATTATCTATTTGTTTCACGATAGATAAAATAGGAAACCTCAAATTTTAAATTTGTTGTTGCAGTTGACATTCCGAAATAAATATTTAATTTTGAGCAGCATTTTAAAACATTTTTGGTGATCCCATTATATTCGGGTTACTTAACAGCCTATCTCACCATTATGTCACAAAATATTTCTTCTAAAAATTGGCTAAATACAACAAAAAAATAACCTTAACAACAAATATCTTTTTCCGTATGTGGTATCATTGTATGCAATACTTTGGTTTCTTCATAGATTTGATATAATTGTAACTTTATTTCAAAAGCTGTACTTATTTTACACTCCTGGTATGCCTCACTTAATACTTCAGGGTTGCTCAATGCAAATTAAATATGATATGTTTGATATCATATTTATGTGCGATACAAATTAAATATCCGCATAAATTTGATGTTGCAAAGTTAAAGAAAAACAGCTTACCTAGCCATCCTTTTTGAGATTCTTCCATGCATAGCTCATGTTCAGCACTGGGAATTATGTAACCGATGGCAAACAATTCCACTGCATCTGCTGCTAAACCTAAACCAGCCATAAGTAAAACCAACAGATGGAAGGCTCCAAAACCAGCCTGAAATTACAGAATACAAAGAGTTTGAGCAAAAACCAAATTATAAATTTATGATATGTAATAACATGCATATTGATACTTAAAAATCAACTTTCAAATTATTATCATGAAATATGTAACAAATTTTATGTTTGGGGTTGACCATATAATTCTTATCACATTTTACTAATTTTAAACTTTTGCTTACGGCTTTTACAATATGCGGACCAAAATGACAAGCAAAAGATAAATCTCCTATGAGGCCAAATGATCCGGGTCTTTCCCTCGAATGCTATGGTTATCAATAATCCATTTGCAAATTTTTACTTTAATTTTTTAAATTGTTTCACTCATAAATGTTAATTTGCCCCACGGAGAAAAAAGTTACCGTACTGTATGGCAATGACATTTCTGGTAAATTCTGGTAATAATACCAAAATACACGATATTTAAATCATTCATTTGGTAATTTTTCCGTTCATACAGTAACGATTTACTGGAAATTCTGGTTTTCAAAATTAAAGTTCGTATTACCACACATTTTGTAAAAAATACAAAAGAGAAAAATAAGTTTAACTGAATAAAAATGTCTTTTATACAATCCTTTAAAGTACTATGATAAAATTACCAAATTATATCACATATTATGAAACCATATTTTATTGTTAATTTTGCCAAAAATCACTACCAAAGCACTTCATAAAAATTACAGAGCTTTTTGGTTATCTTATAGAGCCAGAAATGTTATCATATTAGGGTAGTTAAAACCATGCTTTTTTTCTTCAGAGTATTGTTCTTCATGTGTGTATCTTTTTAGGCAATTTCTTTAATAATTAAAATAACGCATATTTCTGGGTATACGTGCTTGACATTTTATGTGTTCTAAGAGCATGTTATCACTTCTTACTTATCCGTATCCGCAATCACTTCCATGTCACAGAGAGAAGATATGCTTCTTGAATTCTTAAAGTTTCGGTTGTTTTCCGAACATTGTTCATCTCCTTCCCTAAATTCATTACTAAAAATAAAGCTGATGTACTAACAAAAAAAACTTAGAAATGAAGAAAAAAAAAGATACTTTTTATCTTTTTTTGTGATCAAGGGTTTACTAACATATTTTAAGTTATTTAATTATAGTCGAAATCTCGATTGGAGAGATTTTGAGCAACTTGCATATCAGACTTACATTTAAGCAATTAATTTAAAACCAGAGCATCAAACATTCTCTTTTGCTCAAGTGAAGTGAATAAAAGCTATATGAGCTAAAAGATTGATGTTTAAAGAATTTGCACTATTATTGTTAATTAATTATTTAAAGTCTACTATATTAAGTTTAATGATTCAAAGTATGAGAGTCTGGTTGAAATTTTTTTATACTAAAATTTTTTTTATTATCTGATTATCTGATGTATTTCTTTTTACAGATGAAGTATGTTTAGTTTAGTTTAGTTGTTCATTTGCGTCGCACTGGAGCTACACAATGGGCTATTGTCGACGGTCTGGGAAACATCCATGAGGATGATCAGAAGACATGCCATCACAATTTTGATACTATGTGGAGAGGATGGCTCCCCCGCTTTGGCAGCACAATAACCCCGCGCGGGAAGCCGAGCACTTTACGGCAGAACAGTTTAAAGAGGACTGATTCCACACACCCTTGGTTCCTTTGCAGCCTGATCAAAGTGGTCACCAACGTGCACAGTGACCACAGCCAATGATGCTTGACTTCGGTTTTCTACTGGAAACTGTGTTTTACGATCAGTCCACTCTGGGATATGTAGTATGTAGTTAATCCCAGAATTTTCAAAATTTGACAGAGTCCAGCTTTGTTTTCTTTGTTTAAACATAAGCAAACGAAAATGATGACAATGTCGACACAGATAAAAAAAAATTTATTCCATTCAAAGCTGAACTACTGTAAGTGTTATTACATATGACAGAACACAATTTATCAAATTATGACAGAACAAAATTTATCAAATTATGACAGAACACAATTTATCAAATTATGACAGAACAAAATTTATCAAATTATGACAGAGCACAATTTATCAATAGTAGACTCAATCAGGACTAATATGAAAATAAATTGATGGTCTAACGCAGTGTTTCCCAAACTTATGACTTTTGTGTACCCTTTCTAAATTTTTCGTAATGCTGTGTACCACTAATACAAAATGAATGTATTTTTTACTGTAAAAAAATTGCCCAAAAGTTAAATTAACTGTTAACTCTGCAAAAATAGCCAATAGAAAAATACGTAATCGTAAATTTTCGTGTCTAGCTTTGTTTTTAAATGAAATTTTGTGAAATTTTCGTTTGTTGCAAGATATTTCGCATAATAACGTGTACCCCCGCTAAACTGTTCCTGTACCCCTGGGGGTACGCGTACCACACTTTGGAAAACACCGGTCTAACGTAATAATAAAAAATTATTGGCCTAAAGTAAAATGTAAAACACGTGATAATGAAGATATAGCGAACTATTGATTTTAAAAAAGTAAAATTGGCTTTGTAACTATTTTGAAATATAATCTATCACACTATAAGTATCTACATTATGGTTTTAACCCATGATTGGCTTTTATTTAAAAAAAAGCAGGTTATTTTTTCTTAAAGTTAAAAAGCAATATCAACAGACAAAATTTAATGTCCAAACTAAATCTTAACATGAGAACATAAATTTGTTAAAAATTTAAAATTAAGACAAATAAAAATTCATTTTTGAAACAGTAACTTCATTAATGTAATTTATATAGTCTAATTTTGAAGCAGATCGGAAAAAAATTGATGTCACCTTTGCCATTTTCAGAAGTTTTAAGAAGGAAGTATGTCCTCCGCCTTACGGTTTTTTGTTTCACACAGTTTATTTCACAAATATTTAGAATAAACTAAGTTCACAATGCGTGCAATAATGGAAAAATAAAGATACTAATTTTAGTGGTTCTGAAATTCACTGTTTCAGATAAATTAAAAATTATTTTCATAAGAATCAGTTTTTTAAAAAAGTTTCAAAAAATGCCAAAACTAAAAGTGCAATCGAACAAATGTATAAAATAAATCAAACTGAAATTCACTTTGTCTGAATGATTTTGAAGCATATCGTTAAGATTATTCCATTATGATAACATTACGCTTGAGAGCGTTTATTTTCGATTAACAAAATACTTTTATAGTTTCAGAATTGCTCTAATAATAGATTTGTTCTATTTATTCTTGATACCATTACCCGAAACTCATATTTAATTTAGACTAGTTTATCTTTAATATCATTCTATTTCTCTGTTTGAAGACTGATAATGATGAAAATAATATTTTTCATTATTTATTAACGTAACGTTCACCGTCAGTGAATTTTTTATTCTGGATCTTTATACAGTTCCTAGCCAAATTATTAGACACTCTATAAGATTCTATGTAAACATCATAATTATCAGGTGATATGTTTGCTTTATTGTTTTATGATATGCTTTATTGTTTTCACGTCACTGAAACCGGTTCGCACTTGTTAACGTTCGTGTATCGATTGGTTAAATTAGGCGATATATAATATAAATTCAACGATTGGATAAGATAAATTAGACAATATATGATATAAATATAGAATATTCATTATATCAGGTATTATATTAGAATATTATAATAATTAGACCAAATTATTAGACTCACTGAAGTGTTTTAATAATCGTATGTTTTGCACGAGTTTATAGGCAATACTTTTATATTTAAACATACAATGTAATGGGTCAATGTAATGTATTTACAATGTACTGTACTGCATTTACAATGTACTGTATTTACAATGTACTGCATACAATGTAATGTATTTTATTCAGATTTTTTTAATATGCTTCCTATTTGTATTTATTTTTAGCGTATTTCATTACAAATGTTAGCCAATTGATACACGAAAAACCGGTTTCAGCCACGTAAAAACAATAAAACTGTATGGTATCACCTGATAGCTAAGATTTTACATAGAATCTTATATAGTGCGTTTAATAATTTGGCCAGGGACTGTATCTGAAAATGTGTATTTAAGAAAATGAACGCATCTCAAACAGCGCGTTTAAAGAAACTAACACAATTCAAAATGAATATAAGAAGATTAACGCCTGCTCTAAATGCGTGTTTAAGAAAATGTCCTTTTAAGCTGTGACCATTTTCCTAAACATTTAGAGCTGCGTGTCGAATAAAAAGATATGAATTTCAAAAAATAACTTTGAATGAACTGACCTGCTCAAGAAGCTGTTCATGGAACTTAGCTATCGATTGGTGACCAGCAATTTCTTCTTCTTCTTCTTCACCTTTGTAGAGTGCATCTTTTGCAGTGTCATATTTTGGTTGTTCGGGAGATTTTAAATTTGCTCCCGCTGGTAATGTTTCTTCTCTGACTAGACAAGCACACTCGGAATCGTCCTTTTGAGTCTCCAGGGTCATCGAAGAAATAGACTGAAAAGACAACATACATATATGTATATGCATATATATATATACACACACAATCACACACACACACATCACATATATATATATATATATTAAAATCTTTCCCTATTTCACTTCCATGTTAGGAAGTATTAAATGATTTTCGGTGATGCGTAGAAATACAAGGTATGCGATGACTGATCTTTTTTACCTCCTTTTCTGTTAGTACTTAATGCAAGTGCAATTGTTTTTGCGTGACTTTTGCTGTACGATATTGCCAACCAAAGCTTCGCCCCTACTGTCTTGATATTAGTCCACCCCCCTCCAGCTGGGAGAGTGGGTCAGACCTCTGTTAACACCATACTACAATGAATAAAACCTGTGAAAATCTGTCGGCTTATGATTCCTACTAAGGTGAATTAAAAACACTACCAAAAATAACGGGGTTGTTGCCCCGTTATTAAATATATATATATATATNTATATATATATATATATATATATATATATATATATATATATATATATATATATATATATATATATATATATATATCTATATATATATATATATATATATATATATATATATATATATATTTATTTATTTATTTATCATTTCATCCAGTAACTTAAAATCTACAACAAAGATTACAGCTAAGAAAACGTTAGAAGAAAACTATTACAATTTTAAAAGACTCAATGCTAAATCTAGAACAGGATTTGTTATAAAGGCAACGAAGAGCCTAAAATATTTCACTTTCCTTTTGTTTTAATATTCTTTACTGAACTGAATTGATAATATTTTCTACTACATATTATTACATTTTTCCCTTCATATTTAACATTTTATTCAGAAACAAAGAATCTACAGCAAAGATTATTGTTAAGAAAACGTTAGAAAAAAGTGATTATAATTCCAAAAGACTTAATGCGAAACCTAAAGAATGATATGTTGAAAAAGTGACAAGGGAGAAATGACCATCAAGGGAGAAAGACTTGTAATGTCATTAAGGGAGAGTGCGTGCTCATATCAATCACGTCCCTCTTTTATCTTGAGAATTGTTTCTGCAACTCCAATATGTGGAGGCATTTCCATTACACTCTTTTCATCAATCGATGAAGAGAAACAAGGAAATTGTGTTAACCTTCGCCTCTAATTCATTAATGAAAGCAGAGCTAAGGAGGCAGATACTGTGGAATAGTTAAATAGCTACATAGATTAGCAAAACTATGGTTTAATTTAAGCGTAAAATTTGAAAGATAGCATTCTGTTTAAAAGAAACTAAAAATACGAAAAGTTTTTTCTTCTAAAGCAATTTTGACTCAAAGGTTTTTGTGAAAAAATATTTCTTTTAAAAAGGAAATGTATTTTTACATGTATCATATATACAGCAAGAAGCAAAAGTTTAACACTAAACATACCAACACTTAATATATACCTACTTCTACCATAGCCGGTCAAACGATCGGACTTTTGATGTTTTTTGATTGAATGTGTGAAATATGGATGTTAGGAAGGAAATAAACTTAAATAACTTCACTTTAATTAAACAAAATTGTATATTGCTAATTTTTATGTGTCACAAACACAAAGAATAAGAATTTTTAATTCATTGCTCAACTCATTTTATAACACATACAGAGTGTTTTCACTATACATTTTCCGTAAACATATTTCTTCTAATTATTATTACTTTTATAATTCTTAAAATTATTCTTATAATTATAAGAATGTGTAAGAATTATAAGAATCATAATTCTTACAATTATTCTTATAATTAATATTATTTCTTCTAGGAACTTATGCTAACAGTTAGTTAGAAATGAAGTAAAGCTATCAAAATAAAACATAAGCTACTTACCGAAACATTTAGTTTTTATCAATTTTTCTTACACAAAAATTCCAATCTGAAATTTTAGGTACTTCCTTGAAATTTGAATTTACATTTTTTCTGATTAAACTAACTACTCAACAGTCTTTGCATCAATGTGCAAGTAATTGAATGCAATACGTTGAACACGCATTACATCGTAAGAAAGCTATAAAGCACCTTATGAATTAAGCCCCTTATGAAGAAATAAATTGTTCTCCCGGTCAAATGACCGGTTATGGTAGAAATAGGTATACGACAAGTATTATTTAAAACAAAACAAAAATGTAAAAAAAATTATCATAGAATATTAACTGTATATAATTGTTAGAAAAAGTCATGAAGTCAAATGTGCCGAAACGATAAAATGATAAGCCCATTTTTGATTCAAGCGTTCTCAAACGGTCATTTGACCAGTTATGGCGTGTTTAGTGTTAAAGAAGATATGTTTTTCTGTCTTAACTTTATATGCAAGAAGCATTTCTTAAATTAGTGATTTGTAGCATTAGTCATCGTACATTGGGAGCCAGAAATAATATTATTAAAAATGCTTAATTTAACAAATATCGAACGAGAATTTGAAAAAAAAGAAACAAAACGTTTAGAGACATTTAATGTTTTTAATACTTAAGTAAAATATAATATCTTTAATAAAAATAATAAAAGTGCTCTCATAGCTCAGTAGTTAGAGCAAAGAAATTCCACGCAAAATATATGGGTTTGAATCCTATTCCTGCCTTTTAACTAATGATTTCGTTATTTTCCTTCTATGCAAGCTATATGCAAATGGTTTCAGAATACTAAAATCAACTGTTGGCCACATAGTAATGAAATGGAAGGAGGGAAAATGTGTGCACGATGCACAAAGATTAGGAGTCCCACTGAAAAACGACTTAGCGTCAAGACGCGTTAACCCAAAAAAGGACAAAACAAGAGCGCAAATCAAATATGCAAAGAGATGGCTACCGAAAAAAGATTCATATAAAGTAAACACACCATAAGATGTCGTCTATATGCAGGTGGATTGTGTTCAGGAGTTCCTGCAAAAATACCTCTCATTCATCCAAGCTAAGAGTAGGATGATCCGATTAATTTTGCAAAGGAGCACAGAGCAGAGAGAACTAAAGAAGGTTCAATGGGTAGATAGGTACTTCATTTATGTCACACTAGCGCTGCACAATCGGCTATTGACGACATTGGAGTAATGAATTCAAATTGAATTTGTTCGGAAGTGATGGCCTACGTTTTATTCAACCCTCAAATAGCAACCGGCAGCAACAGTCAACAGCGAAACACAGAAATGGATCAAAAATGATCTGGAGAGCTTTCCATTATATTTACGTAGTTCCTCTCCACTTCACACACTTCGATTGGACTATGGATCAATATGTTTTTAAAAACATTTCGAAGGTCAAAACTTTGAACTGGCCGAGTCAATCACCGGACCTAACTCCAACGGATTACATTTGAGAATCATCGGAGGAAAAAATGGAGAACGGCTGCAAAAGCAAAAATCCTTCAGAATCTGCAGATGAAATGGACACAAATCCTTAAGTCCACTCAAGAATGATTCGTTAATTCCTTGTCCAGACATTGTGCCTGACGCCATGACCAGACAGACAAAGTATATGCGACGAAGTATTTAAACTTTGATATGTTTTCCTTACTTGTGATGATTAATTTCAAATCAAGTTTTGAAAAACTAGTTCATATTAAAATTTCGAATTTCAATTTTTCAAATTCTCGGTTAAAATAAGAATTTTTAAATCCAAAATCAGTTGCTCCCTAAAAAATTAGAACAAGAAAACTTATCTTCCCAAAACTTTTGTTCCCTACTGCACATGGTTGGTAGCTGTACTCTATTCATTAAACTAGCACCGAAAATTTTTTAGCAGAACATGTGATTATAATTTACATCATTAGTATTTTGACAAAACTGAAAATGATTTTCAAAGCAAATTAATTAGAAAGTAGAACTTTAGTAGGGAATAAAAGAGTCAACGTGTATTCAATGGTTAAGGAAATATAACCTGAATGCTAACAAAACTGAATCTCATTTCCTATTTTGTCCTATAATTTTCATTTCCTAATTTATTTTCTAGTCTTAAAGAGAAAAATAGTATCAACGTCAAAAGTGTAAAAAATAAATAAATAAACTCTTTTTACATATGTTCAAATCTATTTCAAATTTGACTTTATCGGGATAAAGAATTAAGAGTTCTCCATAGTTTTATATAATGTATTAAATTATATAAGTTCTCACATCGTAAGCGTTTTTCCTGGAGAATGCTTTTGAAGCCCTCATATGCTTTATTTACTTTAATGGAAATTAGCAAATTACATTGTTTTCCGACTTATATTTTAACTTACAGGTGGTTTTAAATTGTTTTATTTTTTCACGGCCATCCCATAACTTTTCCTTCAGTTGTGTCATTCAAACAAATTAGTCGCTTATATATATATATATATATATATATATATATGGAACTTGTGCTTATACAGATCTGATTGTACATTTATATG